TGCCACATTGTTCCACACCGCGCAGCCGTTCTCCTTCGGCAGGACGGCAGGCAGAGCCAGCAGCCGCTCCGGGGACCGCTCCGAACCTGAAGGCTTCATCTTCCAGGAGCCAGATGACTCCCGGCAGCCTCCGCATCCACCAGTCGGCCCCAAGCGCATCTCCTCCAGCTGCTTCTCCAGCTCCCGCACCACCACGCGCATGTAGTCGAAACTGGCCCGCGAGAGCGACTTCATCCACGACTCCATGGCAGCCTGGCTCTCAGCTGCCAGCACGTAGGTGCGGGACTTGGTGCCACTGAAGCGGATGGCAAAAGCGAATTCCTCGGCCGACTCGCAGACCTCCACATTGCAACCCTCCAGCACGATGACACCCACCGGTTCCCGGCTCTCCCGTTCCTCGAAGTAGAACAGCATGTTGCCCTTCAGCACGAACCAGCGGCGATGGTATGCTGTGTGCCGCTCGCCGCGCTTGTAGAGGAAGCCGGCGTTGTCGGCTGGGGAGTCGCAGGTGGCATAAAAAGCCAGGCTCCGCTCGTTCAGCTTCATGGCTCCGCACCCTGTGGGGACAGAGGGTGCTCAGCCGCCCGCCGGCACGCAGAGGATGGGTGCGCCTTAATTGCACGGTAATAAGCCATAGGTTTTTTGTTCCGGGCGGCACTGGCCCTGGCTCCCAGGAAATGGAGCCGGTGAATAAACAGCCCCGTGACAGCAGCCGGGATAACCCCGCTCCCAGCCAAGGTGCTGCGACCCCCACCGAGCGGGTCAGGGTGCTCCGGGGCTCCCTGGGGAGGAGGATTTCCCCAAAGCTGAATGTTTTCCCACACTGGACCCCCGGACAGGACTCGTCCAAATGCCGCACGTCACCTGGCGCAGGTGACCTTACCGCCGGCGCCGTGTTTGCCCTGCGTCACGGTGCTCCTCCCCACGGCACGCAGGGAGCATTTATCACCCGTGCTGCAGATCCGGCTGCCACTCCGGAGAGCCTTGGCCATGGACCCTGTCACCCAGTGAAGGCCACCTCTCCCCTTGTCCCCAACCCACTCATGGCCTCATCGTGCCAGGCTTTCCACCTACCTGGACTCTGCCTCTAGCTCTGGTCTCCCGTATCCGCCAGCGTCAGCAACGCGTGCGTGGCCGTGGCAGCCGTGGGAGCGCTGGCCCTAGGGTCAGTCGGTGGAAGGGGGTCCCTGCTGTCCCTGCTCCAGCCAATGGCTCCGGCACCGAAATGCCTGCGGGTTTTCACGCCTCACCCCAGGCTGCGGAGCACAGGGTGGACGCGCGCCAGGATTATTATTTTCCTATTAAGCCACATCGCGGGGTTCAAGGGGACGAGATGGGGGGTCTCGGAGCAGCCAGCGGCGGGGGGGGGGGGGGGAGGA